ATTCCTATTCCGAGCTGCTATCCACTGCTCCACCATGCCTTCTAACTTTCGCATAATAAAGCAGTTTTTTCGTTCTCAACATAATAATTAATGAATCCGTAGCTATTATTATAAATTTGCAAATTAAACCAAGACTTGCTTATTTCTTTAAACTAGAACATCAACGCCATTGTCCTTGCAAACATCTCACTACGTGTCGTTCTTTTCTATTACGGTAACATACAAATACAAACAAAGAGAAAGAGAATACTTATAAGATAGATTTGCAAACACATGAGTTGGCAACTTTGCTTATTTAAAATATTTCTCTCTCTGTTTGGTTCCAGCTCATTTATTCACAGACTGTTATATTAATAAACATTATGTGTTTGGCCAGAGCGTAAAAGGTTTTCTCGAATGGTAGCTAAAGAAAACAAGGCAAAGAGAAAAGCATCACAAATGATCTACATATTAAAACAATTGCCTGTGTGGATGGATGTCAAGTCATACGTAGCATTTCATCGGTCTGTCTCTCTCAGTGGTTTCATAACTTGCGGTCTGTGTTTTTATCGATCGAACTGATTATCTTTCTATCGATCTCTGTTCATAATTCATCATTCATCTCTCTGTTTATGTCAATTGATCTTTTTTAAGTTTCTGTGTATGTATATATGTATATAGTGTATGTATATATACAGGTTTTCAGTATCTGTGTTTATCAACCTATTCATAAGTATCTATCTATCTATTTGTTCATATCTAAAAATATTTCTTTCTCTCTCTTTCTCTCTATCTATCTACACCCTTGTCCAAATTAATTGAAACAAAACGAATAATTCCGTTATTATTTACTTTTCTCGTTTTTTTTTTTCCAATGAAACATGACCCATGTGCACATGTTAGTACTTCGTACGTCCATTCCACAAAGTCATCCTTGCAGACTGACCAGAGATTCTCGATTGGATTTAAATCAGGAGAGTTTCCGAGCCAGACGATAGTACTTTGATTTGCTCACTGGTAAAACTTGCCATTGTGTTCGTGCAGCGTAACAATTTTCGTACGCTTCCTTGGAGTAACATCCATCGCAATTATTGGCTTGTGGACACCTAATCGACAGTCGAGACAATAGTGTCTGGGCGTGATGAAAATTTGATGCAATCACAGATGACGCAATATATTTCAAGGCCAAACAAATTTCATCATACATCCCGAAAATAGATTCATATTACTGCACACCACTGCAAATGACCTAATCTGAGGTAAAAATAGAAATCGATTACACCCTGTCAATCCAGTGGTTGTTTCAATTAATTTGCACAAGGGTGTATGTTCATATCTAAAAATCTCAATCTGTTCATATATATCATATGACACTTTTTTTCTATTCTAATCTAAACACATGGAACAAGGTACTAGGCTCCGTTAATAATTGTGTATAGATAACATAATCTACGTTATTATGCAAATGTATTCAATTTGTGGTCAAAAGAAATTAGCGACTCTGTTTTGGGACGTAATTTCAGATTGGACGTTTCTCCCCTCTACACCGGTTTCTTGGTATTTATCGTTGTTCTCTGCCTTGCATTCGCTTCGTTCGTTCGTTCGTTCGTTCTATTACAACTGCACGTATCGTACGATGTACTCCGACAGAAGACGCCTTTCATTTCCAAGATGGTCTACTTAAAATCGCCAGTCGCCAATCATTTGCCCGGATGATAAACATACTAGACATACAGGCACCTCCGAATGGAGAACCAACACACCCGGATGTCTCTCCTTGATTCCGTTCGACTCCGATAATATTATGTAAAGTTGTTAATGACCCAATTTCTTGTGGGAAAACAAAAAAGGGTCTCGTTTGACGGAACTCACCTTCTCTTAAAGTCCTACATACCAGACAAAGACAAACTCTCTTTCGCCGAGAATAAGGCAAGTCCTGTTCACCATTTCTACCATTCGACTCGGGTTCTGGTTCACTTTTTCTGCTACAGTTCATATATCTCATATGACACTTTGAACCACATGGAACAAGGTACTAGGATCTATTAATAATTGTGTTTAGATAATATAATCTATGTTGTTATGCAAATGTATTCAATAAAAGAAAGCGACACATTCTTTTTAAGCTTAGAAGTTTGTTAAAAAGGTTTACTTTTCACAATACGTCGATACGAATGACTTTAAGTTGATTTTGCATGCCATGGAATTTCAAATGATAAAAGATGAAGTAATAAAGATAAACAGGACCATAGACATAGCCAGATAGTTTGATTCACAAGCCAGCATATTGTCGAAAGCCTTTGAAATATCTAGGGTAATTGTTCTTGTTACTTTCAAACTTCTGTGTGAAATGACAGTTCAAACGTCGGTAGTGGACCTAGAGGAGCGAAATCCGTAATTTGTTTTCTTTGTTGATAATAAACTCAAAAGTTTTGCTAAGGAGGCTGATGAGGTGATATTACGAAGTTGGTAACCACTCACCTGTATTCTTGAAAATAAGAATATACAACTGACACCTTCTATAGATTGGGGGCCCATTTCTCAATTTTTAATTTCCTGATTACCGACTTATATCTTTCTTGAAATACATTTTTCATTGTTCGTCATGAGTTTTTTTTCTTTTTCGAGGTTAATCCCCATGCTATATCTGGGAGATGTTTCATCCAGGTGCTTTACTAGACTGACGAGTTCTTTACTGAATTTTCTGGTTGCTTCCTCTTCAAAACTTGACACATTATTAGATTCTAAAACTTAAAGATAATATCTCTGTAAAATATAATAATCAATAATTAAGAAGTATGAATAATAATAATTATGAATTACTTTTCGTCTCTAAACTTGTTTTTTTATTGCTATCTTCAAATCTTTGAGCTATATCAGAGATTAGCAATTCGGAAACAGAATTTAGAACAAATGCACAAAAAGAAAGAACTAAATATCAATCATAATATTCGCCCTTGCATGGAGTAATGCTGCCATATATGGTCTAGAGACCCTTCTGTTTGTCTCAAGGTCCTTGATAAAATCCAGAGACGGATATGCAATGTAATTGGCCCTGATCTGGCATCTCGTCTGCAGTCGCTCTCTCACAAACGTGCCGCCGCCACCCTCTGTCTTTTTTACAAATACTTTCACGGTGACTACTCCAATGAGCTGCTTTCGCTGGTTCCCAGACTTCATGAATTTAAGCGTTCTACTAGGCTGGCATCTCGCTCTCACTCTTTTACTGTGGAAACTCCTAAATGTAGCCGTCTCTTCTACTCCAATAGCTTCATGTCTCACACTTCTCGCCTGTGGAACTCCCACCCCTTTTCCTGTTTCCCTGATAGCTATAATTTCCAACTATTCAAATGTAATGTCAATCGACGTCTCCAGATGCCTTGATCTATCCTCTATCCTTCTCTTCATCCTTTCCTCTATCACTCCTATTTGCTTTCGCTCCAAATCCTCTGTAACCCCTTGCGTGCTAGTGGCTTCCCGTATTGCTTGGGGTGTAACGCTTAAAAAATGAAATAAATAAATTTAAGTATAGTATATAATCTTGTATAATCCGAATTTATATTATCAGTTTTTTTTTTACGCAAAACATACGGGGTCTCACTATACACAGGTAATTTTTTGAAGAGGTTAAAAATCACGCATTTTCCGCACTATACACAGGTAATTTTTTTCAGGAGTGGTTAAAATTCATTTAAAAACAAAATTCAGGGGTCGCACTACACATGACTTTGTTTTATATATGAGTATATGTGGGAGAAGAATTATTTTCCACCCTCCAACCTCTCTCTCTCTCTCTCTCTCTCTCTCTCTCACACACACACACACCCAGGATGTGGCGAGTCTCTCCACTGCTCTGTCGCTACTGCCATGGAAAGTGCACGGACGAACTGCATCTCCTGGTTTCACCAGGTCTGACCTTCACAGCTAGGACCCACCATGCCCCTTACATAATGACAAACCACACCCATTCCCTCTGTATTCCATCGGCGAGAATTAAGTTCAATTCAAACAGCTTTTTCCAGCGAACAACTTCCTTATGGAACAAACTCCCGAAGAGATGTTCCCCGATCACTATAATCTCAACCTTTTCAACTCTAGAGTCAATATATCTTTTCTATAAAAATGTATTGTTATTCGTTTTCATTTAAAATTGTATTGTTGGTATTTTTGCTATAAATATGTATGGTTTGTAACTTTTTATATAAAATATATCGCTGATATTACTATGAAAATATATTTTTATACATTCACAGAGTTTTATTTTTGTTTGGGGTTTACTATTTGCCAATAACTGGAACCCCTAACAGGTGCTACCACTCCAGGTCAGGGTGGACCTGGGAACAACAGCAATTAAGAGGTGATTCCGCGCTCCTCAAAACCTCCAATCTGCCGATCAGAGGCCTTGCTGCCGGATGTAGTTTATCGTCATACCCAGGACTATATTTTCTTGTCAAAACCCATCGCGCATTTCCTTTTCTTTTTTCACTTCAACTTTCACTTCTATTTCTTTATTTTCGCTTTAACCTAACGAGTCTTATTTTACTTCTTGTTCTTCATAATGTTTGACTCTTTTTATTTTCCTGGGTAAGACGATAAACTACATCCGCGTCCTGGGTAAGATGATAAACTACATCCGCGTCCTGGGTAAAACGATAAACTACATTCAACAGCAAGGCCTCTGATCAGGAAGTTTTGAGGAGCCTGAAAGCACCTCTTCCCAGGTCTATCCTGACCCGTGGTAGTAGCACCTGCTAGGGTCCCAGCAATGGACAAATTTTTAAACACCCCAAAATGTGGTCAAAAGACTATGAAAGTGTAAAATTACCAGAAAAACATTTTTGTAAAAGAATTATTACTGGCATTTAATTTTTGAAGAAAAAATTATTATCAGCAATACATTTTTACCAGCAGGAAATTTTGAAAAATAAAAATATTACAAGCAATAAAAATCTCGTCGGCATTAAATAACCCATTGATATGCCGTAAAACAAACCAAACCACTTTTCATTTTCTTCTTAACGTGCTGCCATATCACGTTGAAACTCCGGTTCACATCCAATCATCGAAGTTAAGCAACATTGAACATGGTCACTACCTAGATGGGTGACCACTCGGGAATACCAGGTGCTGTAAGCTTAGATGTGCGAGTGATGTAATGGATAACGGCTCGGAATAAGAAATCTGATAAATGAGTTCGAATTCCAGTCGGGTTCGTTACATTCATTTACGGGCAAATAACCTTGAGAAAGGTATGCATCCACCTCTTCTCCTCCCAACTAGGGATTAAATTGTAAGACTTGTATTAGAAAACCATTATTATATCCCCAAAATTATTATAATCCAAAAATATGCTTCGGCTTTAAATAACCTCAAAAAGTGTGATAAGCCGTAAAAAACAAATCAATTATTATCTTCTTTTTTTCTTTACAGAATCCAAATGGTATTTTCAGGTATTCTAGAACATTTTTTTTGAGGAGGAGAGCGTATTTTCAATTAGAAAATCTTCAATGGCCCTTTTTGTTAATTTTCCGATACGTCTTTGATTTCTGTTTTACTCGCTATTCGTTTGAATTTTATGTCTTATCTTTTGAACATCGTTTGGTCAATTCCCAAAAAGATTTCATAGAATTCTTTAATTGGCCAAAGAAAATGAAAGTACAAAATTTCTTTCTGCATGGTCAAATCGTCTGAATTGATGGCATGGCATTTAAGAGTGTATCAACATACGAACAACTATAGAATTTGAAGCATCGTTGGTTTTACAGACTGTTATAAGAAAATGGCTCATTTGAGTTGTTTTCAAATGCATGAGATTCCTTTAAATATATACTATAATCTCTATCTATAATCTTTATAACATTCTTTATATGCAATAAAAGTTCCAGGGACTTAACTGATTAATCGATTCAAGGGTTTCACGTCATTAGGGTTAGAGATTTGATAAATCTTATTTTCATTGTTTTTTTTGTTTTTTTTATTTGATAAATCTGAGATTCTTTATATAAATATATTGATATGAACCTTCTTTTATATAGTGTTTTCATTCAGGTCATGGGAGATCATGGCTTTCCACAACTTCCAAGTATTTATAGCTCTAAGCAACTTTTACCCCACTTTACCATCCTTCCAAGTCCCAGTCGTCTATTTACAAAAGCCTGTTAGACATTTTTATTCGTTGTTTCCCTCGATCCATTTTACTTTCAATATTTCATATGAGTGTTGTATTACCTATTTGTTCTTTTTTCCTTATCGGTATTTAAAATGTCTCTTTCTTATTCTAAGTTTTAAAATCCTTTTCGTATATATTTTTTTAATTTTCTCGCTAATTACATTTTTTTTGTCTATGGTATTCTTATCATCCTTCTGTAGAACAATATCTTTGGCTTCGAAACTATTTTTCATCTGTGATATAATTTTCCACAATTCACTGATATACAGGAGGATAAATATTCATTCAATCATTCATTCATTTATTGCATCTTTGCACCGCTGCGGTCATCACCCTCCCCTATTTCTGTTGTAATTATGTTTCATGATGACAGTCAAGGCAAAATAGTGTAATGGCTTGCCGATTAATTTTGAGATAACTATTACATAGATATAAATATATGTATTTTCTGAGTAAACCTATTTCATCTCCATGGTAAACTGAAAGCCTCGTCATAATGACCAGTAAACTAAAAATAGGTTGCGAAACAAAATTAATTAAATACTTCATTCGGCATTAACTGTAATCCGTGAAGTTTATGGAATACTACCAATTGTGATTTGAGAGTTTTTTGTTTTTCGGGTGATCTCTTGCTTTATTTTTTTATATATTTATTTTTCACAACATCAATGCGATAACATAGTCAACTTTTTTAGTAGTCTAATGATTTAAGTTATTGTAGGACCGTCGAAATAAAACATTGAGTTTTAAGTATCTGTCTATATCTCTGAAATGAGGTATTATGATTATATGTATTATCTCCATTATTCGGACTGCTATCCTCATCTTCACTGTCATATTCACAACGTTTCGGCCTCTATATCTCTGAGATGGGGTATTATGATTACTTGCATTATCTCCATTATTCGGACTGCTATCCTCATCTTCACTGTCATATTCACAACGTTTCGGCCTCTATATCTCTGAGATGAGGTATTATGATTACTTGCATTATTTGCATTATTCGGACTATTATCATTATCTTCACTGCCATATTCCCAACGTTTCGGCCGTTGTACGCTCCAGCCTTCTTCAGGTGATTGGAATTTCGAATCGAACCCTTTATTTCGTTCACCGGGGTAAATTGTTCTAGTTCCACTTGCCATGCCTCTTCAGGATGTCTCAGTTATTTTCTCAAGGACATATGGCCCAGTGGATAAAGACGTTGGTTAGGTCTAGTGGCGAGACCCAAAGCAGTAGTGAACCAAATCTTGGAGAGTTGAGTTAAAAGAAAATAAAATGGCCGAAATGTTGTGAATATGACAAAGAAAGATAAAGATAACAGTCCTGATTAATGTAAATAATGTTAGTTTTAGGTGTTGAACTTGCATTTGTCATTGAATTTTAGATATTTAGCTCTCCAGTTCAGTGGAGTGTGTTACTGTATAAAGATCAAAACCTGTAAATCGCCATTAATCTATATAGTCCAGAAGATTAAAAAGTAGAAAAAACTCTTTCATTGTATTATGTCTCTTCAGGACGTCGGCGAACATGGATCTCCACAATTTCCTGTCTGTTGTAGCTCTTATACTTTTTCTTTTTGTTATCTCTCCTAAACTTTGCTTTACCATCCATTTACTCTAGTTCGCTAGCTAGATTATGCATTTTTACTCTATCCCTCTTACCTTCAATCTGTCCTTTGAGTATCAAATTTTCCAAACACTCTTTCCTCATTATGCAACCTAGAAATTTCAGCTTTCTCTTCCTGATGTTGTGTATAAGTGGCCTTTTTGTTTCCATTTTCTCTAAGACTTCTTCGTTGCTCACATATTCGGTTCATCGTATTCTCAGCACCCTTCTGTAAAATCACATTTCTGTTGCTTCAAATCTCTTTTTCATCTGTGAGGAGATTGTCGAGCATACACTGCCATATAGGACTGATATTGTATAATACTTCAGTATTCTTTTCTTTGTTTCTAACGAATGTTTTCCTATTTATTAATACTTTGCTTAGCTTTTGCAAGACATCTTTCACTATCCCAATACGCCTTCGGATTTCCGTATTGTACTTTCCATTCTCTGTTAAAGCACTTCCAAAATATTTAAATTGTTGTACTTGATTGATTTTGATTACCAATTTTTATTTTGCATGTTAGGCTGTTCCATTTACTGGTATGTATTCATTCTATTTTCTTGCAATTGATGTTTATTCTGTTCTTCTAGCTTATATATATATTTTCTGTAGGAGTTTTTGTAGGTTCCTTTCAGTTTCTGCTACCTATACAGTCTCGTCTTATATATATTAAGCAATTCATCGAGTCTAGAAAAAGCCTCAGCAGAATGCAGAAAGCACTGGACGGCCATTTCGTCCTATATACTCATCAGCAGTGCACATCCACTACCGCGAATCGAACCCTGACCGTTTCGATACAACGCAAACGTCATACCAACTGCACCACGGGACTCGGTGATGCAAAAGACACAAACTAGACTCGATATAGCGTGCTACTCATCCAACCTCGGAACAATGCCCCAAGAGCCCAAGAGTTGATATAACATTTGCGTTGTATCGAAACGGTCCGGGTTCGATTCTCGGTAGTGGATGCGCACTGCTGATGAGTCCCAGATAGGACGAAACGGCCGTCCAGTGCTTTCTGCATTCTATTGAGGATGCTTCTAGACTTATTGCTATAAGCCTAAATCCCCAAAATTAATTACTTGTATACCTTGCAAGACCCAGCTTATGCTCTGCGATGGAGCGGCTAAGGGTCAAAAAGCAGTCGTGGCTCTTGGGGCACTGTTCCCAGGTTATCTGAATACTTGGATGAGTATCGATGCGGAACTGAGTGAGTAGCACGCTATATCGAGTCTAGTTTGTGTCTTCTTCGTCACCGAGTCCCGTGGTATGTCGTTTGCGTTGTATCGTAACGGTCCGGGTTCGATTCTCGGTAGTGGATGCTCACTGCTGATGAGTCCCAGATAGGACGAAACGGCCGTCCAGTGCTTTCTGCATTCTGTGGAGGATGCTTCTAGACTATATTATATATATATATATATATATATATATATATATATATATATAGTCAGAGCCAAGGTCTCGGACATGAATTAAATTTATATTTTAAGCCAGAATATGAGATGACTTGACTCAGTGTATGATTACCGTGAATTCAGAAAAGGAAAGAATGTCTACCGGTTAGGAACGAGTCACTCAAAACACGATAATCTGTGAACGAACGACAGCGAACACGTGCATTCAATTTAATAGAAACAATTTAATTCAATAACATGAAAAGTAAGAAAAGCAAAAAATAGAAGATGAAAATAAAGTTTGTTTTGAGTGAATACGCGGTGAATGTGGCATTTAACAAAGAAACTTCAACATCGGTGTTTTGAGATCAATGGAAATCAGATAGTCATCATTTTCACATAAAAAATACTTGAATTGATCGATAAGCTCGTAGAAACAGAATGCCTGAATTAATGGATAATTTTAATCTCCCGTTGGATTTCAGATATTAATTGTTAAGTAAAATGTTTATACAGTCATCGAATTTAATGTTCGGGATCTTTTCATATGCTTAGAAAATATCCGTAATTCATAGATATAAGAAAACTGGTTAAATCCATTGTTTAATTATGTTACTGTCTTTTCTGCTCCTCTGGACAGATAATTGCAGGAGTCATTCGGTGGCTTTCTTCCAACTGTTGAATCCTTGATTTTGGCGCCTCTGTGTCTATTTGTGGTCATGTGACCTGCCTACAGAGTCGACATATATGATATCAGAGATCAATCGCCCGTCCATTGCTATCGCCATGATATAGGTAAATACATTTATTTACTGTCACCATGCACCCGAATGTATACACGAAGTCGTTAGAAAGAAAGAAAGAAAGAAAGAAAGAAAGAAAGAAAGAAAGAAAGAAAAAACAATCTTGTTAACTATGAGATAATGGATAGATTAGTCTTTCTTTTCCTTTAATAA